ACTGAAGAGAGCAGGGCAAATGGGGCCTGAGCGTGGCCCACAGACCAGCCCACGTGTGCAGAGACCGAACAAATCCCAAAGTGACCGCCAAACGTCAAGTAATAACATAAACAACGCATTACGCTACCCCTCTCTTCTTTTGAGCGACGTCCTCGACGCTCCCTTGTCACACCTCTCGCGCCAGCCAACACAATATATTCTATACTACAAGAAAGCACCCACGGGCCAGTCGACAGCTGAGGTGAGACCCAGAAACGGTAATTTTTCTCCTCGACAGCTTCAACTGGATCCGGAATCACTTTCAGTCCGACAGCCAGATTCAGGGTCACATAAAACCCTTGACCATCAATTGCTTCCAGGACTAGACGGTGGAACTCTGATTTAAAACATATGTTACAAGGGAAACAGGATGAGCCACTGTCCCGTATGTAAGGAGAACTGCATTGTCAGTTCCGACACCTAAACACGGATTTTGTGTGAACTTTCGACACGAAGCATTTCCAGATGGTTCACAGCAGTGTCACCTCACTTATTAATAACTTGTCCGTAAAACACAGGAATAAGGTGAAGCCAAATGCTGACGCCAGTCTAAATACTTTCGTTGTGAAGGGTTCAGAGTCCCCGCCACCGATGCAAATGCATCTCCTGCACACCACAGGTGCATTCAACAAACGGGTTCGCTTTTCGCTGCCACCAGTGTAGCGTCCCGAGACTCCCCACAGGGTGGAAGAAGGCAGTGAGTGAGGCTGGATACACGTATTCTGAAGGGAACAGAGCAAATGTGCCTGAGCATGGTCCAAAGGCCAGCCCAAGAGTACAAGGACTAGACATATCTTAAGTGACCGCCACATCTCAGATAGTCACATATAGAAAACATTTTAGCAATAACAATTTGTCACAAAAACCCACCTAATTTTTTTGACATGAGCACAGTTAAGAATATTATTTTGGCACTGCTAGCCTGTAATTTGTTACCTTTATACTTCATTTAAATTCAGATTTTCGATTGAATATATGAATTCTGTTCATTTAACGATGAGAGCTGATTCCTCTGCTTCGTTCTGAGCTTCTTTCTTAAAGTCTTCTTCTTATTGGTGCAAATTAAAACCTCATTAGCATCCACGTTTATAACCCATTGTCATTGTAATGCTATACATAATCGGTTTGGGATTGTCAACTATCGAGGATATTACCATATCTGGTCTAAATGCTATTCAAGAGTGTGATTACGTCTTTATTGACGCATATACATCTATTCTAACTCATGGAATTGAGAGAATATCTGCATTTTGTGGCAAAGATGTTAAAAGAGCTGATCGGGAGTTTACAGAGCAGGGTTCCTTGATAACCTCCCTCGCAAAGAGTGAGAATGTCGCTTTTCTGGTGGTAGGGGATCCACTTTGTGCCACTACACACACAGGTAATTCTATGTCTCATTCATTCCATGGAATAGATCTTATCATTCGGGCAATTAAAGAGAGAACACCATACAAAATCATTCACAACTCGTCGATAATGACAGCCGTTGCCTGCTGTGGATTACAACTCTATCGAATGGGTGAAACAGTCTCAATTCCTCTCTGGACTGAGTGTTGTTGTCCCGAAAGTTTTTATGCAAAAATAATATTCAATTATTCTCGAGGTCTTCACACATTGTGCCTTTTAGATATTAAAGTAAGCGTTAACAAATTTCAATTCGTTTAGACTTTGTTGAATTGTAACCATTTTTTAACCTTTGCAAGGTAGATCCTCTTTTCTCTTCAATTTTAGCTGTTTAAGTATGCGTAGTGGAAGTTTGTATTTCATACCTAAACGAGCGCAATAGGACCAGGAATAGATCCATTTCAAAATAGTATGCTTAGAGAGAAAGTTTGAAGGGTATTCAGCCTACGTTCGTTGTCGGTATATTGGATTATTTATTGGATTTTCGGTGCTGCTGCCCTCTTTTGGTTAACTGTTGTATTTGTCGACCGTCTGCACACATTTAGGTTCGAGAAAAATCGTTGGAAAATCTACTTCACGATCGTGATATCTACGAGCCTCCTCGTTTCATGCTCTGTCCTGAAGCTGCCTGTCAAATTCTTGAAGCTGGTCGCCGCATTCGTCAGAGGTTTATGGCTGCTTCCATGGATCCAGGGGCCGAGGTTTCCTACGAACCGAAACCGGAGAGGTACCTTCATCCTGACTGTCTTGTTGTCTGCCTAGCCAGAGTGGGATCTCCTACCCAGGCTATCCTGGCTACAACGATGGGGATTCTAGCAGCGGCTGCATCGTCTGGAGATTCAGATATTCTTTCCCACATCCTTGGGGGCCCTCTGCACAGCATGATCATTCCTGGTAAATTGCATCCGATGGAAATTGAATTCCTATCCGCCAGACTTCTGATAGGTGATGGGAAAGTGGATCTGGAGAACGTGCCCAATGGGACTTCATTGCCTGTTCTTTTGCCTCCAACTATGGCCGGCTTTGATTTTAGGGAACGTGTCAAATCAATGTTCGATAGACATCAGGAATTACTGTCAACAATAGCCTAGGAGCTTGCGTTGTAAAGTGTAAATACATTTGGAAGGAACCT